GTAGGGAAATTGCAAGTGCTATAAAAAAGCTTTTAGATGCAGTAAATGAAGTAACTGCATTTATTCGTGGTTCTGCTGGAAAACAGGCATTGGATCAAAGAAAAAGGGAATTTGTTAAATACAGTAAAAGATTTAGCAATACATTAAAAGAATATTTTAAGGAAGGACAGTAAGTATTACTATGTTTCAATTTTCTCCTATTTTTTCATTTAGTTTAAAAATGCAAGTTTCTGCTTGTTATAGAGCAAATGCAGTATTTGTGAGTGCATTATATTTAATACATCAAACAAATATGATAATGCTCACAGTAAAGGACAAATGTGAGTAATGAATACTTGATAAAATAATAGCTCTGTAATAATGGAATAAGTTAAAATTATTATAGAATTTATTTAATATTCTAATTTTATTTGTTACATATTTGATACGAAGGTTTAATTTTTGATAATAAGATTATGCATTTAATATAAAGCATACATAGTATTATTATTTTATATGTATCAAATTGTTATAAAATTATTATATGAAACTGAACGCATATATATATTATATATAAAATTCTAGTAAAAAATATAAATATTATTTCTAATACATTATACTACTGTTCTGTACATATAAAATAAAAGATTCTCATTTAAATAAGGTTAATCAACAACTATGGAAATTTAAAATGAGAAATATTTCTCCAAATGTATAAGAAATAAAAATTACTTTATTGATAACAAATGTACACCCATATGTTATATTTTTCATGTGGAATCTACATCCTTTATCTACATCCTCATTGTATTAACAATGACAATGAGTAACAGTAAGGATTAATGGTAATTATTATAATGAATATCATTGCAAAATGGACAAACTTTTTCAAGCTCGCTTACTATCTGCAAACGCTCGTACAATACTGCCAACACCACTGATATTGTATACCTTCTCATGCCAGGTTAATAAATGACTACTGCTACCCTCTGTTGGAATTTCAAATCCCCGATAGATATATTTCATTAAGACATCCAGCAAGTCACGATCTAATTGTGATAAGCAATCGTCTATTTGAATAGATTTTATACTTAAAAGGACTTTTAGTGTTAAATTCCTTGCGTTATCCTGTAATATTTGATTATTATGTATTTTTATATACGTATATACATATATATGTAAGCCACATAAAATAAAAATTTTTGTTAAAAGAAATTACTACTCATTTTTATTTTGTTAAACATCACACTATTAAATAAATTTGTTACATGAAATACATCATTTAAAGAATTTATAACATATGTATACTGTATATTTTATATTACATATATAGAAATGTACTTTAAAATGATAAATATTACTACTACATAAATTCATGTGTCATACACTGAAGTAAAAGGCATGTTAATGAGGTTACCTTTACTTGTTGATTTTTGCATCCAAGTGGTGCAGATCTCAATACAGATATCAATGCTTCAGCATTCTTACCCTTGCATAAATATTAAGGAAAATAGAATGAAATGTATGAAAATTCATTGTAATATTATTATTTTTGTATAAAAGTTACAAAAAGGATATTGACTAAGAAGCATTAAAATTTCATTTTCATCTGGACCAGTCGGTCCTCCTATTCCTCCGTCAGCATCCTCTTCTCTGAAATTATTATCACTATATTGATCAACATCGATTTTTCGAAATGTAGATGCGGACGAATCCTTTTTGCCATCATTCCTTGACATTTTACTTCGCGTTTGACGTTTTGCTGTGATTACACCTTGCTTATCTACTAACGCTGTGAAATGAATCTTTATTGGTCTTTAAATATATAGTATATCTAGTATGCCTATCATTCGAACACGTATCAAAGAGTACATAAGATTTTTGTTAATTACTACTTTTACTTTTTATAATAAAAATATTTTTTGATGTATGTTTGAGTCAGTATTGTAGATACAGAATTATAAAATCTAACAAAATATATACTCGATTATAAAGCATGACAAAAATTCCACCAATCAGAAACACTTTTTAAATTTATTTTGTTTCCTATCTTAATTTAAATGTAATAAAAGGGAGTAGTTTATGATTTATTATGATTTAATAATTTAGTGTATCTTATATATTCATATTTATATATATTTATATTTTAGTTTGATTTTTTAAATGGTGTATGTTGGAGTATGAGTAAAATAATTATTTAACCTTATATTCGCTATAGATATTTTATTCTGTTGGTGTTCATTGTATGATGCATATATTTTTGTAAAATTGTAAGTAAATTATGAACTGTCCAAAACTAGTATGCAAATATTACACACCGAAAATTATATGGTATCAAACAGATACTACAGTCATTATACGCATATTACTGCAAGATGTGGAAAAATACTTTCTTCGAGTTCAGTGTGATCAGTTATTATTTAGGTATTTTGAACTTTGTACATATATATTTAAATTGCATGTTTCCAAAATTCTATACAAAATATTTATGTATTACTTTTAGTACTACAATACATTCTAAATGTTATTCTGTGTCTTTAAATCTTTTTGGGACTGTAATTGCGGAGAAAACGACTCACATAAACTTAAGAAGAGAAATTAAAGTTGCACTTGTCAAGGCACATAAATGTAAAATAATTGTCTATTTATGTATATTTATTGTAGTATTTTTATTATTATACATTTTATTATATATTTAAATTTTATCTAATTTATAGGGGCAGAGTGGTTAAGATTATGTATTGAAACGGGAAAGAATCCTTTAATTGTTTTAGATCCAGAACATATATATAAACATGATTGGATGACTGTTTCTTTTCAAAATAGAGGTAATTATAATACATTGAATAAATACAGGATAGTTTATGTGTATTTGAAAACATATTAATATTAATAGTTTATAAATTATTATTAATTACCACATTACGGAAAGACTAATGTTTTATCACAGAAAGGGAGAGTTTTACAGAATATAAACTTAGAAATAATATAACTCAAATAATGCCAGATGTACCATCTAGTGATGAAGAAGAATCTGATGATGAAATAATGGACATATTATTTTCTTAATACATTTCTGTACACAATATATAATAAACATATATGATCAATGTAATATTTATAATATTTAAATGTATTTGTAAAGATAAGTTATTTAAACTAAGTATTTTCACTTCAATTTTTATGTATATATGTTATAGATTAAATATATATTACATTGTACAAGCTGTTAAAGTGTATGATATGATAGATAGTTAAATTTTAAATAAAATATATCTTATATAAAGTAATTTGAATTTTTTATTTTGTTTTTATTTTGCTAAATGTCATTTATAATCTTTGTAAATATACAATAATTCAATAACAAATAATTTGATGTATGCTATAAGTAAAGATATAATTTATACTACAAACTCTGACATTTAAATAGAAAAGTACAAATAAAAATGCAGATACATTGTATCTGTTACTAGATAGTTTTGTCTAAGTAGAGATATATTATAAACTTACTATTTAAAAACATTTATATCAATATAAATTATGGACTAATCATTATCAGTGTCAGATTTTCTGAATAAAAAAAAAATCGTATACTAATTCTAATCAAGATAAAATGTTCATTTTAAACTTTCTAACAAGTATTGGTTTTGTATAAATATAATATACAGATTGTAGCTGAATGAAAAGAAACGTTTATATTGTATACTTTTTGTACACAAAATTTACTACATTTATTACCCATAATTGATTTGCAAAAGTAATACAAAATTATGACATTGGAATGCTTTTATGTTATGGCTCATAATATACAATGTAAGTTAAGACACTACTAAAATACATAATAGTCATAGATTTTACTAGTAATATTGCTCCTACTTGTAAAAAAATTGCTCTTTATATATTTTAATAATAAAATATTATGTAAATAAATGTATAATGTAAAATGAAACTATTAAATATATTTTTTTCTAGAGTTTTCGACAAATGTTACACATATTTTAATAATTTATTAATAAAGAGCACATTATTATTAGTGTCTTGATATTATCATATAGTGATCTTAACGGAATATGTAAGAAATTGGAATATTTGTATCAAGCTACTTTAAATGATTATGAATACTTTATCATAACATCGGTTCACTTAACATAATCAATTTAATATTGAAATAATAGGAGTATATTAAAATTGAATTTCATAATAAAATAATCATATTTAAATATCTTGTATTTTGTGGTTAATATCTATATATAGTCTATACATTATACTATAAGAAATAAAATTGTGTAAAGAATTACTTTTATATTTTCTTTTTGTCCTAAGGATTGAAATATATTTATTATATGATATCAAAATAAAACTTCAAAATATTTCAAATAATTTCATTGAAATTATCATGTTGCAAATTTAATCACTTCTTTTTTTCTTAATATAAAATTTGCTACTACTTATATAATAGTTACACTGATGCTAGTAAATCTGAATATATAATTTATAACAAATACAATAAAATAAAGATTGTTAGTATTTAGATTATTTACAACAATCTTACATTTATTATATAATAGGAAGTATGTCAGACTTTCAGCTATTGCTATATCTATTTAATTATATCAATTTCATATATGTTTGTATATATTATTAGTATGAAGTATCTATTTATATTTATATTCAATTAACAACCTTCTAGAGAAAGTCTTTGATTTATGTTTTCAACTCTTATTTTCATTTCATTGAGTATATCTTCAGCAAGATTATCGACAGTGGTATATCTTACTTTAAAGAAATTAAATATATCTACAAGGAATTCTATTACTTGATCTCTGAAATAGTGGCAAGTGGAACATAGACTTCCTTCTGGACCTAAGAAACCCCACACAAGTACTGGTGAAATTTGTTCAGAAATCGAATAAAAATGTGCCAAAAAGCCTTTGTCATATTTTAACATTTGTCTTTTACCCATAAGAACAGACCAAACTGCAGTTCCAATTGCCTTCAATGCAAGAAAAAATAAATATTAGCAAATAATGAAATTAAAAGCAAATTTATTTTTTTTAAGTACTTACAGTTTCACGAAAACTAGCGGATATCCACCTATTTTGTAAAATAGCTTTAATTGACGAAGGTGGTTTTTCAACTTCTTCAAAAGCGTCTAGTAAAATAAAATCAATCAGAACATCATAGAAGTTCATACATTTTACTCCCCTTCCAGTTAATTCTTCCTCCATAATACTGCGATTATTTCGTTCTTGTAAGAATTCTAACATTCGTTCGTAATGTATTAAATAATCCTTTGGATCCTGATATTAAAAATCATTTGTTAAAAATCGATTCTAATTACTTTAATATATTTATATTTGTGTTTTTCTCAAATAGAAATAAATGATATGTGTTGTGTATACCCTGTCTGCATACATGATCAAATCACTAATGACTTGTCGGCCTATATCTGCAATCCACTCTCTGGCAGAAGGTATAGTAAATAATTTAGTATACGCTTGTCGCAAACAATGCACCTTCGCTAAATATTCTACATCTGAACCACACTTCACTAACTCTGTATGTAATCGTCTGTAATTGAAATAGAAATTATAATAATATAATTTATAAAAATATGAATTATAAAATATTTACCTGCATAGAATACCTTTGTCTTCGTGTTGTTTGAGAGCAGCATGATATAGTTTTTGTTTTTCAAAATGCGGAAAAAATTCAGAAAATTCTTCAAATTCCCGTAGATCTGCTACCTATATTAATACAAATATTAATCATTTTTTATTTAATTATATACAAAAAGTTTAAACTTACTCCATCACGTGCAGATTCAAAAGATTCCGGAGAAGATGCGGCATCTGCTTTATCTTTACCAGATATTCGGCTGCCTATATTTGAAGGCTTATGGCTATCTACACTTTCTTCATCTTCGTTTCGAAATAATACTGAATGCTGTAAACATTAAAATTATATATTTTTCTGTTTTATAATTTATTTTTCATTTATTTACATAACATTAATAGTTAGATTTTAAGTATAGAAAACGTCTCTAATTACGAAAAAAGGTTTTCAATTTAAAAGAAATGTTTGTACCTAACAATCATAATCAATTGTAAGAGCATTTTATATGCTTAGATTCGACTAACCACAGTAGCGATGTCATGAACTTCCTATGTAATAATTCTTCTTTGCTTGTTGTTAGGTCAAGTAACTCATTGTACTAATTACTCTAGTCAGTTATCATTTAAACTGGATTAATTTCCGCATTTTTTGTACGGGGAAAAAGCAATTTATGACAATAGTGGAATGGACTAGTATAAAATGACATAAAAACGATTTAACAAGGATAAAGAAAAATTTTTAAAAGTAATCAATCGAAACTAGAAAAATTGTTTCCATCTAGTCGAGACTATATTACTTCCTATATGCTAAAATAATTTTACAAATAATCTTTGATAATACATTGTAAAATAAAAATAACTATAATTAAATATGTCCGAAATATTCTGTAAGGAACATGTAGCATTCCTACAAAATAAAATAAGAGAGATCCATTTGGTTAATTAGAATGGAAAAAAAAATAATATAAGTAGAACCGATATGCTTACCTGGTCGATAAAAAGGAGTTCTGCATGGTTCTGTATTTGATAACCTATGTTAAGAAGTTTTTGCACATCGTCCGTAAATGCTGCATCCGCCTTAGATGGTAATGCGAGTGTACCATTATTGAGTGAGGAGCTGAACGCAGTAAGAGCATCCTCCCAGCAATAGAGAGCTTTTTCCAGAGCCTCCAAACCTGCATCATTAAATTACATTGTTTTATATTTATCAATTTTAATTCTCCTCTTTTCAATTTTTTTTTTTTTTTGTTTTTGTAACTTTATTATAAATTTTAATTTTACTTTTTAAGGATCAATGTAATAAAAAATTTACTGTAAAATCTTTTTTACTAAGATAAATGATGAATTTATTGAAATTGAAAGAAAAGCAAAAAGTAAAAGATAAATTAACACTCTCAAAAGAACTAACTAATTAATTCTATTACTATTCCGCTATAATTTTATGAACAATACATCTATATTCTCAATATGCTTTTTGAACTTTCTTGCATCTCGTTTTCTTTTTACTCATTACATTTTTTTTTTTATTAACAATGACATATACTATTTTTTGTTATATGCATTAAATTTTCTAAATTACTTCATAAATTATTTGAAGATTACGATTTTCATTCATGGAAAAATTTCGCTAAGTTCTTAATATTAAAATCATTAAAATAATACATAACATATTATTCATATAAGAGAGAAAATACGTTTATGATGTTACAATGTAAAGCAACCATAAAGAAAATGTATGAATATCGAAATAATTAATATTTTCGATTTGTACCTCATACATTTTCAGCGTAACCTTTCAATTTGTATATTGTGTATATAAGTGTATATAATGTGTAATAGAAAGGAATAGACAAATCTAACACTTTCACTTCTTTCAGTTTAAACAACACTCGAAATGTGCATAGTTTGATGCCCTCGTTTTTATTTATCGAAGTGTCAATATTTCTTATGGAATGACTATCTTTTTATAACCTGCTTTTTTTGTACACAATTTCTACATTTATTTAAATAGAAGGAATATCGATTTTGTAATGATTTAAGATCAGAATGTTTGATCTTTATTTTATCCCGATGATCCATTATGTCTTTCAACTGTGTTTTATATATTTATCAAACTATTAATCGTTTAATTAACAAAAAATAATTCTAAAATTTGTAAAATTCAATTTTTACAAATCTCAAACGTGGTAAAAAGTTATGACGATAGTTTAGGTTAGAAAGATATGTGAATTGCGTGTTTTCAAACAACCAGGAAATGTCTTGACGGGAAGAAACTTCAGACGAACAGTCGCGACTCTGGTACTTGGCATTCGTACAAGAGGCAAAGGTAAGTTCAACGACTGATTTTGCAACGGCAGAAGATTTACAAATGAGAGACCCTGTTGGCCGGCGTGTCAGCCAGTCAGCAAAGAGTAAAGGGTTGAGAGCACCTACTTAACGTTGTCACACAGTCGCAGGATTTAAATTCCGAGTCGGTGACGACATTCTCCGTATTCAACGTTTTATCACTCATAAATCGGTGCATATACATGAAATTTGTCGCGGGACGGAAACTGAACCCGCGCCATATTAATTAAGGATATGTATATCTTAAAGGTGCATTCATTATTTTTAGTGTGCTGCAAGAATACATGAATCTATGTTAATATCTGTATATAAAGTTCATTATATACTGAGATGAGAATAAATAAATCTATTAATCTATAAAACTATTTGGGACAAAAAGAAGAATTAATAAATCCGTTCTTTTCTTCGACTAGAAGAAGGATTTCATTTTTATTGAAATTTATTTTAATTCCTATAGCTGCAGAGAAGGTAATATATATAGAGAAAAAATATATGTAATAGAAGGGAGGTAAAGTTGGGGTGTTTTCCAGTGACGTATCTATACAACTATAAATTTGATTCACTGATGGGAATTGCATAACTTTTGTTGTTAAAAATGGAATTTGTTATTGAAAAGTATGAAATTTGTTATTATAATTGGCAACATAAATAAAATTATACGTAAAATTAGATATAGTGAACATTTTGTGAACATTCTTAACATATACAGGTTGTTATTGTTATTTTAATATTAATTTATGCAATTTAAAACATTACTTAGAAAGACATTAATGGTAATATTGAACAGTAATTTGTTTTCCATACCAATCTTTAGCATAACATAACCCGCTAACTTAAAGATTTTTTTGTGATAAATATTTTTAATTACTTATTTGCTGTTTTAAATTTTCAATTAATTCTTAATTCTTAATTCTTAAAATCCAAATTACAAAAACTCATGTAAGTCATGCAGTTGTACAATTAAATCAAAGTATTTAACAGAAAATTTATATGCTAAAAGGAAGATAACCTACAAAGTACAACAAACCATATCATTCAGGTTCGCGGTAAGCGTAAGTATCCTTTATTTAGGATAGGGAGAGATTCCGTGCGAATTTTAGACGTAGAGAGGCTTTCATGTGACTGACTACCCCTTGAGGATTCTTGCATCCTCCATTAAAGAAAAGATACACCCTAAAGAATCCAGCACTGCGATGCTACCGGATGGTTGGCGTCAATAATACCAAAGTGACGTAATCTTTCTCGAGGTTCGTTATTGGAGGATGTGTCATCCAATGGGGAGGGGTCGATACGGCAGCTGGGAGGCGCGCGCGGTCTCAAAGTGTGCTCTAGGCACGCGTTGCGGCATCGCGGTTCGGCGCGCTAGTAGTGTGCTGCTGGAATCATCACGACGAGGTAGGTTTGAGAGAGCAATACGAAGAAAGAAGGGAGAACACGCGAAAGCAACACGAGAGAGACGAAGATCGAGTTAGATAGAGGTAGTGAGACGCACAGAGAAAGAAGGGGGAGGGTGGGACACACTGTGAGTCCTCGCGCTGGCGTCAGTTATTCGGCTTGCCACTTGCTTGGCGGATGTAGTGTGCTTACATACTTTCCGACGTTTGCTACGGCGGGCCGTTGACACGCGAAATTTTTAAACGTATTCAAAAAAATATTTCACAACGTACGATCTGTTACGCGATACAGAATAAAACTCTGGACATCTAGTGCCATATCGCGTAATACCCGTCCCCTTGATGCCATTTGGACGCTCGCATTATTTGGATTAAGATAATGCAATAGTAAGTACGACTGTTTCCTTCCTCTACGATTATTGAACGCAATCGGGTTTCGTTGAGAAACACGACACTGTATCACCATTGTAAGGAATCTTGACTTTTTTTCACTGAATATAATCGTTATATTTATTATATTATTATATTATTTTAATTATCATTTCATGTAAAGCCTACATTCGTAATATTGTTGCGAATTCGATAATTTACATTAGAGTTTCATAAATGTGTTATACATCTGACAAAATATTTCCTAATCAGAGAAATAAACTCATGATAATGTATAAAAGAATAGAATGATAATGTATAAGAATATTTCAATTTTTGATTAGGGAGTTAATCGATGTGGTCGAACCGGTAGTAGAGGAAATTGTGAACTTATAGATTTCAAATTATTGCATGATTTTGAGCAGAATTGGCGATACTGTGAAAACATCCAAGGATATTATAACGCTTTGGGGTCTCTAAAAAGGAAAAAAGTATCTATTCCAGTAATTGTTTTAGAGCAGGTATATCTTCGGTATAGGTCAAGTTCAGGGGTCAATACCTTGTACTCGTTGAATCTCGAATAAAAGTGAATGCCGTAAATGTAGCAATAGCATCGTGTACCGGCAGATCGATGAAGGTGCCTGGTGCGCTGGTGAACTTGGAAATTTCCCTAGCACACGCGCACTTTCTGCACTCATGATATTTGCGTATCCGTTATATACATCTTACCCATGCACGAGCTTCTATTAAATCTTAAAGTACAACAGGCGATATTATGATGCCTCGAACGGGATACACAGGGAAATTTGATGAGTGATGCACTGTAATAGAGGCATATTGTGTGCAAAATCTAAGAAATCTTGGGCCGTAACTTCCTTATATCTTGACACCATACAAGATAATGAGAATTCAGGTGCATTTCTTTGAAGAACCAAAAATACAGTGAAATTGGAATCGATTAAATGTGACAGAAATTAAGGAATTTAAATATTGGTTTAAAAAATAAAAATGTAAAAGTAATTGTTCGATATTTTTACAATTTACAGATGCTGTTAGTGTTTTATAATGACGTCCAATTGTAAACAAAGTTGAAGAACCATAGAATTACAAGCAAAATTGTTATTTCACAATTCAACGTGAATTACTTTTAACAATGGTGGTTAAATGTTTTCGATTCGTGTAGTTTACACGAATTTCTTTTATTTTAACATTCATGCATCACCTTTCACCGTGAATAATAGATAATAATGCGCGATATGCAAACTTATAAACGAGGATAATACATATGTACAATTGAATGATACGTATGCTCGATTATTTAATAAAAATGCACATTGTCAAATATTGAAATTTGTGCAACTATAAGGTGTAAGATGCATCCAATGGATAACACTCTAATAATATTAACATGCTAACGATTTATTTCCGTTTTATCAACAAATGCTACTGTATCGTTCAACATTATAGTAACTGAAAATGAAACATTATACAAAGAGATATATTTATCTAATTTATTATTTTTATACGTAAATAGTCAATTAACATAATAATTAATATAAATATTAATAGTTATTCAACCAATTGTCCAAATTTATCTGAAAATTCTCTTGAATGTTTTAAATTTCTCGCCATATGGAAATATGTTAAACCTTTGCCAAAGCAGCAACTGGGAACACTGTAAAAATAGGAATATTATAAATAAATAAACTGGTATTCGAAAAAAATTTCATTACAATAGAAAAATCTGATGAAATGAAACACAAACTGATGCTCCAACGGGGCGACCTACTTACACAGCTCCACCACTACAATACAAAATATTTTCTGTGCTATCGATTTTTCATGTTCTTTCAATACCATATTCCATGTAAACAAATTATTTGAGAAGGAAGATCAGAGAAGAAAAACGAATGACCAAGCTAAGGGTCATTAAGAAATTAATTAGGTCGTTACAGCTATGAGCAATCATATAGATATAAAAATATCCCGTTTTGCAAGTTCAGTACAAACACGATTAAAGAATGAATAAATAAACAAATAAGAGAAGGACAGCAAGAGAAGAAACGTTAAAAAATTGATCAGCCGAGGAACCGTATGTAATTGTATCAGATTGTTAAAATTTTACATATGGGTTCTTTTGAAATTTAAAATAAAAGAATTAAGAACAAAATAAAAAGGAAGAAGGTCCGCCGGATTGGAAATTATTAATAACTGGGTGGGGCTATTAAAAATCGATCAGCTGAATAGCCAACTATGCAAGATGCCCGCATCACATGCTAATGCAAAACATACAATACGAGTTGTCGATAGGTGAAGATGAAAATTGTACTATAGACGTATAACAAGATACATGATATGATCGTGTCAGTTATTAAGTAATAGTGGATCCCCTGTCGAGGATGCTTCGACCCTGATGAGGCTAATAAAAGTGACATCATTATCGCTCACCGCAACGAGCTTTTAACCTACGTGGCTCGCTCTGATTTTCATAATCTGGTTCACATCATCGTGGATGCTCTACCCCATTAGTCGTTGCCTTTTCAGTTAGTGCCGGCTTATACAGTGTGAGAAAGTATGAAGTGCACGTGTAACGTTGTCACCGAAATTTTTTTCTTAGTTGATACCTAAACAGTGGAAAGAAGTATCACTTTATGTGGAAGTAGTATTAATATTCTTATTATCGTTGTACAAGGTAAGCAGTTCGAGAGACTGTGGGACAGCAAGAGGGTAAAAGGTGTATCCCCCACTTAGGCTTTTGCCTTCGTAAAGTAGACCGACGAAGGTCATACTATACGGCTACGAGCCACGTCAGCTTTAAAGATCTTCTGTATCTCGATAAACTCGAGGTCCAACGCCTGATGCCTTTGCTCTTCTTCGCGCCACGCTCAAAACTGTTCGCACTGGGAATCCCCGTTTGTGTTCCTTTCCTTCTTTTCTCGAATCGGGATACCAAAGTGTTTCCTACGAGGTACATCGAAGTTTCTATCGTTCGAAATGAACAATGATCATTTTATATCCTTTTAGATTATTCTCATGTAAATGTTTCAAAATACAGAATATTGTCAATAATATATAAAAAATGTAAATATATTCTCCTTAGTTCAAGCTAAATTTCATTTTAATTCTCCGAAATTTTGCTATTTTCTTTAATTACGATTTTGTATTTCGCGCCTTTCGTAAGAAGATTCTCGGATAGATTCTCAGGGTATCTCACTCTCTGCGATATTTCACTTCCTGAAAATTAACCAAATCATGAATCGCTGATTTTATTCTAGAATTCTGCTTCTCACGATCCTTGAACTATTTTTAATTCGGACTTTTCCAAGCTTTTGCATTTTCTCGCATTGTTTGTGAAAGAATTCCTTAGAAATAGATCGCAGGATATTCCTAACCTAAAAATTTTAAACTCATAAATCATCGAACGTCTCATTCACTCTACTACCTATGATTCTCTTACAGAATTTTTCCATTACATCTCTTGCTTTCTTCTTCGAATTCCATTCGAATAACGCGAGTTCCCTCGTTGGTCAAGCTCGCGATTCAACCCGTTTGAATCTATTGAACGTCATCACGGTATTAGACATCTCTCGTGGGCGTGCGGCGAACTTCGGGTGGAATCGTTTCGAGCGCGGAACGAGTCGAAATTCGAATACTTGGAAACGTGGTGCAGTGGAAAATGACATAAGATCGGCGTGTAAATATCTATAATGCGGTAGTGACGTAATTATTCATAGAGAGGTATCGACGACGGCCGCAGAGCCCTTGTTCATTGTACCTCTAATTTCACGTTGAAGAATTATCGTTCGATCAAAGTTGATTTAAAATCTCGAAATCGTGAGAAACACCGCTGTGAAAGGAATAGACGTTTCAACAGACTGTACCATATCGAATCGTCTAGCGGTTTTGTTTTTAAGCGGTTATTCTTCTCAACGGGTCTTTCTGACGTTAGTCGTGATGAATCATTGGTCAATTGAAAGTGCGAGGTGATTTTGTGAATACGTTACGAATCGACTTTAACCTTCATTTGGTACTTTGGCTTTTCCCCCAAAATTATATTAACTGATATTTTTCTTTCTTTTCTTATTTAATATGTATATTAATGAAAAGAGATTCATGGTAATGTATAAGAGAAACACATGTGGAAATCTCTGAGTGATTTTAGTTCGATGTTAAGGGTTAATAGTTTGATGAGTTTTCTGAAAGTAATGGCGGGAGATTTAACTGTCACGATGCCAATTCTCTTTTTCATAGAAATATTTGTATTGTATATTTCATAGGATAGAAACGGAAGACTATTTTCGCATTATGGTTTCTCTCTTTTTTCGTATAGCTTCGAGTATACATTTCGTAGGGTGGAAATAGAAGACTTAATTGTCACACTATGGCTTCCGGATGTTCTTTTAGTTTTACTTTAAACGGTTATTGAGGTAGGTTTCAGAGTAAGGTAGCTCCGTATATTACGAACAAATCAAAATTATTCATTATTTAAAGTTCATAACAAATAACAAATAAATCGAATACGTCGAATAAATCGAATACGTCGAATAAATCGAAATCGTTATTTTTCATTTATTATTCATTATTTATATAAAACTCCGACTAACGCCAGTCATTGATAAATTTTTGATACCTTCAAAAGACAATGCAATATTGCGTTTCTTCTGTAACGTTATATCTTGGTCAATTTCATTACTTTGTTCTTATCTAAAAAAAAAAAAAACGTTAAGAAAAAATAGAAATTTTTTTTAGAGATGTATTATTATCTATGTACACTATAATACGGTAGAAATTTAGTTTATTATCTTCAATTTGTCGGAAATATCGTTGCCTCGAGATAAAACACATTAGACACTCGATACATCGCGGGTTCAACGAGAGGGAGACGGCGAAACAGTGTTAAAGCAAGTTCGTGGAAATCGAGCGTTAGAAACCGGCGGGGTTCGCTCAACGAGTTCAAGGAGCACGATTTCAATCTCTTGGATCGAGATTGAAGTGGAGGATCCATTGAATTGGATCTG